CTTCCCCTCCCTCCTCCTCCCTCCCTCCTCCCTCCCTCCCTCCCTCCTCTCTCCCCTCCCTTTTCCCCTCCCTCTCTCCCTCCTCCCTCCCTCCCCTCACCCTCTCCTCCCTCCTCTCCCCTCCTCTCTCCCTCCCTCTCCCTCCCTCCCCTCCCTCTCGCCTCCCCTCTCTCCCTCCCCCCCTCCCTCTCTCCCTCCCCTCCCTCCCCTCTCTCCCTCCCTCCCTCCCCTCTCCCTCCCTCCCTCCCTCCCTCCCCCCTCTCTCCCTCCCCCTCCCTCCCTCCCTCTCTCCCTCCCTCCCTCCCTTCCCTCTCTCCCTCTCCCTCCCTCTCCCTCTCCCTCCCTCCCTCCCTCTCTCCCTCCCTCCCTCTCTCCCTCCCTCCCTCTCCCTCTCCCTCTCCCTCTCCCTCTCTCTCATTAAATCAACACTCTTTAATTCATCTTCTTCTCTTTGATGTTGAGCTCTGAACTTGGAAGAAAAATATGAACTTTCAACTTTTAACTTAACCGAAATTTGAATGTTGAACTTTGGGTCACGTGACACTTAATGACAAAATAATTCATATTTTCTCTGATTTGTTCTAACTTGCCTTATCAGGGTAAAGCGAAAGGACGTTAGGAAAAGGAAGAGAAGGGGAAAGAGAGGAAGAGGCACAGGAGAGAAAGGGGAAAATGAGGAAATGAGGAAGAGGCATGGAAGAAGAGAGAGAGAAAAGATAGGAAGAGGCATGGAAGGAGAGAAAGGGGAAAATGAAGAAGAGGCATGGAAGAAGAGAGAGAAAAGGGAGGAAGAGGCACAGGAGAGAAAGGGGAAAATGAGGAAGAGGCATGGAAGAAGAGAAAGAGAAAAGAGAGGAAGAGGCATGGAAGGAGAGAAAGGGAACGGAAGGAGAAGAGGCAAGCGGTGCAGGTGGGGAGAGGGGGGCAAAGGGTAGGGTTGGCAGGGGAGGGGGAGGGGGAGGTTATCGCTGAAAGATCGGGAGGGGAAAGGGGGGCGGAGGAGGAGGAAGAAGTGGGGGGGAGTGAAAGGGAGGTGAAAGAGTGGGAGGGGAGGGGATTAACGGATGGAGAGAGACAGACAGACAGATAGACAGACACAAACATACAGAGAGAGAGAGAGAGAGAGGGAGAGGGAGAGAGAGACAGAGACAGACAGAGACAGAGAGACAGAGGGAGAGAGAGAGAGAGACAGAGACAGACAGACAGACAGACAGACAGACAGACAGACAGAGAGAGAGACAGACAGACAGACAGACAGACACAGGGGGGGAGGGGAGAGAGACAGACAGGCAGACAGACACAAACATATATATATAGAGAGAGAGAAACAGAGTGGGTGTGGTTGTTATGCGAGTAACTGCGGAACAGAAATGCGTTAAGGACATAATCACCCGCGCTGTGGACAAAAGGACAACCTTACGTCGTGTGTTAGCTTGTCTGAGAAAAAAAAGGAGACAAAAAAAAAGAAATATTTTTTCTTACCCATTCCATATTTCCTAAGCTTTATCCCTTTTTTTTCTTTGTTTTGACTTTATTTCCTTGAATTTTTTTTTTTTTGTTGTTGTTTTTTACTGCAAATAACATTATCATTATTAGAAGCAGTGTAATTACAACTGCAGTTAAAACAACCAATGCTAGTTGTAACAGCAGCAGTGGCAGCAGCAGAGGAAAAGAGAGAGAGAGAGAGAAAGTTGAAAAGAAAAATGACTGAGAGAGCAATCGAAAGAAAGGAAGTTTGTGAAAATCTCTCTAAAGTAAAAAAAAAAAAAAAAAAAAAAAAAAAAAAAAAAAAAAAAAAGTCTTTCCAAAATCCGAGATTCATTCACAGTCCGAACCGACTTCGGAATAAGGGTCGCCGCCCGCTCTTTGTTCCCGCCCGAAACGGTTCCAAGTTAAAAGTTATAATCCCGCGGTCGCCATTGCCACGTTGGGGAATAAAAAAAAATACTATTTCAAAAAGAAATAAAATAAAAAAAAAAATAGAAATCCCCCATGTGCAACAGCTTGGAAGTTGTGCAACATCGGCGCAACAACGATAGCCACCATACCGAGTCCCATGGTTGCACCTGCGAACGCCAAATTGCACGTCAATGCTAATTATTCTCGTTGCTTCCCCATCTGCCCCTATCCCCCCCCCCCCCTTCCCTCTGCCCGTATGCAGTGTTATTGTTTCCGGTGTTTGACTCTTCCATTCCCTCTTCTCTCACCTTTCACTTCGTCTTTTTTTATTTCTCTCTTAATTTCCATTCTTAATATTATTGTCATTATCGCTATGTCACTAAATCTATCCTGTTATTGTTTAACCCTGTTTCTATGCTTCTATTTTTTCTTTTTCAATTAAATCACACCAGTATAACGTATACTATTCTAGGCAAAAAAATCAAACAAAATAACACATGAACAAACATTAAATGAAACACAATACTGAAAATAAAAAAAATAGAAATCTTTTTCTGAATCTGTTTGATAAGGATTTTACTTTGACTCGAAACGTCTCCAT